GGATGCCGATACTTCAATAAGATTGATCTCAAGTCAGGGTGCCACCAGATCGAGGTGGCTCCTGAGGATCGACACAAGACAACCTTCCGAACCAGGGATGGTCACTACGAGTTCGTGGTTATGCCCTTCAGATTGACTAGTGTTCCTGCTACCTTCCAAAGGTCTATGAATGAACTGTTTCGTCAATGGCTGGATCAGTTCGTAGTTGTCTATCTCGATGATATCCTCGTGTATAGTAAAACACTGGAGGATCACGAGAAACACCTACAAATGACTCTTTAGAAATTGCGCGAATGCAACTTCAAACTAAATCCTAAGAAGTTCGAGTTTGTTAAGTCTGAAGTGTTATACTTATGACATCTAGTAAACGACTTAGGTTCTCTACATGTGCTGGTAAGTACGTCAGTAATCAACGTAAATACAGAGAAGACGTTGCTTCGTGCCTTGCCACGTCTGGTATGGTATCCCACCTACACCTCGCGTTCACGAACTCCCCGTTCAACTGCATCTCGGAGACACGGTCGGAGCTTCCAAGGACGGGCTAAATCCAGTGATCTCCTTTCATGACAGGCTATGGTCCCCGGAATGAGTCCTGTGTTTTTTCATCTATTAGCTCAAAGAGAAGTTTCCACTGGTGCTCCTTTCTTTAATGGTACTATAATACCTATTTTTATTTGTTTACTACTTGTTTTAGTTTATATACATTACAGAAGTGCACAACAAGCGCACAACAATCACAGTGTGTAAAGTAGGTCCATGTAATTGATCAATACTTCGTAAACAACACAACCTTCCGTTGCCTATATTTTGTTCAAAACCAAAGTGCATGATTTGTAATTTGTATTTTTTTTGTATTGGATAAGATAACACCTGTAATCAAAATACAAACTCCTCCATGTGACAAAATCATATTCATTGGTGCAGAAGGTTTGAACAAAAAGAAACTGAAAAAGAGAAAAAAACAAAGAAATGACAATAGTCAGGTAATTGTTATTGTAGATCGATTATCAAAATATGCTATGTTAATTCCTTTGCCAGCCGAAGCTAAGACTGGACTGGTCATCCAAAAATTCCAGATGCGATGGGTTTCAGAATATGGGTTTCCAAAGACCATCGTCTCTGATAGGGATGTACGGTTCACCGGTCTACAATGACAAAAGTTGATGGAAGCCTATGGCACTAGATTGACCATGTTGTCAGGTAGATACCCCGAAACGGATGGCCAAACTAAACAAATGAATCGCCTGTGCCAACAACTTTTGCGCATGTATGTATGACCTGATCACATAGATTAGGATGAGAACTTACCTAAGATTGCTAGTGCATATAATAATAGTATACATATTGGTACAGGGAGAAGCACTACACAAAGGTTGGAAGCCTAGACGTCCCATCAATGCTCTGACCCGGGACCAGATTCAAAAGTTAACCTCAAGTACTTGTGAATTCGCAGTTTTATATGAAGAAAACATAAAAAGAGTCAAGGAAAATATACAGAAAGCCCAGTTGCAGATGATTGAACAGACCAACAAGCATCATCGACCATCGCAGTTTCAAGAAGGTGATCTTGTATGGGTGAAGTGTAAAGAGTTTTCCTTGGAGGAAAATGTGTCTCAAACACTGTTGCCTGTCTATTATGGACCCTGGAAAGTTCTCAAGGTGATTGGGGATGCAGATGGACCTTCCTACCGAATTGATGTACTCCCACACCTTAAGACCTATTCTGTCTTTCACGCATCTAAACTTTTGTGATATGTAGAGGGAAATGAGTTCCCTAACAAACCATGTATGTTCCCACCCTCCATGAATGGAGGCTATGAAGTTGAAAATATTTTTGAACGTGGCTACTCCTCTACAGGTGCCAAAGGAAGACCGCAGAAGCAGTATAAGCTAATGTTTAAGTCTCAACCTCCATCTGAAGCTAGATGGCTTACTAAGAAAGAACTACTACCTACTGCTCCTGATATTATTGCTGCATATGAATGTGGGTTAAAAGAAAGTTAATGTATTTTTGTGATGAAGCTTAAAAATTGGGCCGGCAGGATTGCAATAACCCGTTCATTATGCCTCGTAACCTGTCTAAGGGCCCTAGCCCGACGTCAGCCTAAGCCGCATTACGACGAGACAGGACCCCAAATGTTTGGATTCAGGGGCCCTGCGCCAAACAGTTGACTGAAAGTCAACTGTACACGGCCCTCATTCAAAATCGTCGTGGACCCCGCCCAGGCCGCCGGTCAGACACACTCACTTGTTTGTATGCAGGTACCAAGACAGCATTCAGGCCAAGTGGAAGTCTGCAACTGTATGGGATCCAGGCCGTCGGCTGCGAGTCAATCTGAGCCACCGTGGGTGCGAGACCGCAGGCAGGTCAACCTGGTCAAGTGCTACATAAGACCCTGCCTCCAGGGGGTCAACATTCAGTCTTGCCATGTAGGCTTGACGCTGGCTGGACGCTAGCTAGATGCTGGCTTGACGCTGGCTTGACGCTGGCTAGACGCTGGCTGGACGTTGGCTGTATGCTGGCACTGTGGACGAGGACGCGAGGCTGCTTCTTGCATGCCAGCGCCTTCCTGCTTCGGCTCCAGCCTTTGCTGATGTGGCGCAAGCCACGCTGTCTTCGACATTGCTGATGTGGCGCATGCCACTCTATCTTCATAGCTGACATGGCATTGGCCATACTGTCTTCATTGCTGAGTTGGATGCGACAAGGAGGGAGATCGGGATCTGTGGATGATAGAGAGAGAACAGGATACTTACTTGCTGTTGATGTTGATACTGTGCGCTGCTCAACGTCTTCAAGGGAGAACTGTGCCACATGGCACTTTTGATGTGATCAGGCCCTGTCAAGGTTGTAATTGGACATTGTTTGCTGACATGGAGGCGAGGGGGAAGCTCGGAGAAGGAGAGGGAAATGTTGGGCTACTATCTCTGTAGTCATTGATGGATACTCTCTCTTCCACCCTCTAAATAGTCAATTGTCTATTTCTCCTCTCCTCTATTCGTCTATTGGAAACAAGACATAGTATTACATATCACACTCATGATTATTGGAGACAATATTCCGCATTGTGCAACGAGCCTCTTAGTTCAACACCAGTGAGCGCACACAATCACACCACGTGCATGTATGAGATCACACGAAGTTCACACTGGAGGCCAGAGAGATGAAGACCAGGTAGCACAACTTTAGAATTCCAGAAAATTATCATATAGACAATTAAGAGTTTCGGTCACAGGCGCTCAACAGCGCAACCTCAAGTATCCAGAATCTCCACTCAAGTATGTAGCTTCCCCGAAGCTCTTCTCTCTTCTTCCTCTCTTGGTCTTCTCTTTGTCTTCCACCTCCCTGTATCTCCCTATCTGCATGCACTCACACCCTCTCTACTACTCAAGGACCAACTCTGAATACACCCACTGTCAACTCTACTAACCCTTCTAAAGACTACTACTAACTACTAGCACTAACACCCTTCACTGGCGCAGCTATGGCTGCCTTCTCCCTGCTAGCCCTCTCTCTCTCTACTAGCGCAGCACTTCGGCTTCATCGCTCCGCCCCTCACAATAGCGCACAAGTGCACCAGCACTTCCACACTTCATGCGAATGAGCTCTTTGCCGAATGAGGAGGCTGGCCAGTCCTTTTGTAGTCTTGGACTGCACTTCAGATATTGACTATCATGATGACATTGACTACCTTAGCAAATCTCCATTCTTTTTAATTGTGATTAGGGCAAGATGGTTAAGATCCTCATGTGACCACGCCAACCGCTGTCTCCCCTCTGCGCGGAGGTGACGGGATGAAATTCCGATGAATGATGAATCCCTTTTTTTTTTTTTTTTTTTTTTTTTT